GATGTGTTTTAAAGCATCAGAAAGGCCACAATCTGCTTACACGATATTAAACCTCAGAGAGGGGAAAGAACAAAACCCAAAGAACTTTATGAAATCTAGTTGTAAAAAAGAAAACCAAATAAAAAAGACAGAAATCAGAGACGTTGCAGTAAAATTGCAGTGTAAAATCTTACCCGGTGACACGGTGTTTTTGATATGTTAAAGATAATCCACGTATAGCCTGCTGCAGTTTGCTTGAAAACATTTCTGTTATTTATTTATTGAATCAAAGTTTCCTTTTTTTCACGACTGGGTATTTGATTTTAGTTGAATTTCAAATGTATGACAACACTTTGTAACTGAGATCTTGTGTTTATGTAAAGAACGAATCACAAGTTTTGAATAAATTATGATTTCTCATTTTTGTTTGATTTCTTTGTTGTTTCGTTTTACATCTCATTATCTTTTCTAAGTCATCCACACCAACATGTTAGCCATTGTGTGTCATCTGTAAAGCTCGGTGAAGCCTTTTTTTGTTATTTCTCACCCCAAACCATCATGTTATATACATTTATTTTAAAGGGATTTTAGACTGAGCCACATGTTCTCATGTGAAATCTTATTTTTACTTGCAAGATCTGAAATATAACCTTGAGTTCTGTATCATTTAATGCTAAGCTATGCACTTATACTGTTAGCTTTTATCTTTGCTGTCAGCCCCATTTTATTCAGAGCGTGATGGTGAAATCCCAACACTGCAACCCGAGCTACATTATCATAACGAGCCAGTTAAAGAAAATATGTCCAGTGAGTTACGTCAGAGGTCGCACATGTCCGTCCTGTGACCGTGGCTTATGCAGTATGGCCTACAGAGAAACACAAATCTGGACATTGTGTGTATTTTTGTACAGACTTTCTGGGAGTGGGTTGCTCTCCATCTTGTGGATGCTTTCAGCATTGGTTTCATTCCCCAGGCTGTGATCTCTGATATTATAAATGACTAAAGCCCAGGGCAAATGTGTGGTAATTTGCTGTGAATTTCCCATTACAATCTGCATGCCGAAGTGTTAGGGAAACACCCTGGATTTGGTGTCACCTCTGTGGTGACAGGCTGTTTAGTGCTGAGACACTTCCTGACCTCGCTGTGAGCTCGTCCAGGCGCTGTGACAGATTTCAGATTGGCTTTATTTAACTGTGCACTTCAGAGAAAGGTTTGAGAAGCGGGATGAGCGGTATCCAATGAGAGGGCAACAGGATAATTGTGGCAGGGAAGAAGGGAGGCACTTGACACACACAGAGTCAGTACAGTTCACCATGTTCCACAGGAGCAATAAGGCCGTTCTAATCCCCTACCTTATTAAAGCTTTCTTGTTTGCATTCAATTTAGAAAAGAAGAAAACCGACTTTAAGTACTTGAGTGCAGCTTAATTCACGGTGAGACTTTATAGATAGCAGCTGATGTAACAGCGCTACAACTGTTACTTTACAGACTGGCAGCTCTATCGACGGTTTATAAGCATAAATTGTATTAAAATACTATAAATCTCTAAGTATAAAAACTCTAATGCTGCTGTATTTAACATTTTAACAAACCTTTAACAAAATCAGGTCTACGGCAAAAATGCTTTTAAAAATAAATCTAGTCAGACTTTATAATAATACCGGAGAATGAAACACATTTCGACTTTTACATTTGGGTATCGTGATCAGATGAAATGAAATAAGAAAAGTAACATTTCAAATCTTATATCAACTCTCTTTGACCTTGGATTTGACCTTCCTAATAGCAGGGACATGTTGAAATACTGCGACTCATGCAGCCTGCACCGGTGAAATGCATAGAGTATAACCTTCGCCTTTCCTCTCCGCTGTTAAACAATTAAAGACGTTTGGTTGTGGAGACGTGTATAGACAGACGTGTAGCTGAGTGATGAAACCGGCACGTCTACATGTCATTTAATGTTTCCTATTAAGTCTTACCTATACAGAGCTTTTTCTGATTATTTTTAACTGTTACATAACAAAGAATGGAGACATTTAAGACATAAGGTTATGAGTATGTATGATTAAAACTCATCTAAACAATGCAGTGAAGCGTAAAATCTTTTAAAACGAACGGAAATATCATGCAAACAGTAACCAATCAGCGACTTTAATTGTCATATGTGGATTCGGACCTTTTATCTCTGAAACAGGCAACTTGTGAACAGCTGGCTGTAATGGCTGTAGTGGTTTCTGTGGCCCGTCGCGAGCCACGTGAACAATGAGATGCCGACTCTAGTAACAAAACGCACAGAACAGCTTGCTGTTTATCTTTTTTTCTCAACCTTTTTAGCTGTTTTCAAAAATAACAGTACATTACAGTAGAAAATGTGTTTCTGATGGCGCGGTGTGACAAAAGTCCGTCCATCTCATCTAACACCACACTGTGTAGTCTAGGCTCCTTGTTTGACAGAAACATTTTCTATTTCATGCAGGAGGAGAGGATTTCTAGGCCGAACATGACTCCTCTAATTTGCTGCCCGGTTGCGATCCGGGTTGTGTCACAGACAAAATACGAGACAGTGCTCCACTTTAAATTAGTCGCAGAAAAATCCCCCAGCTGTGATGAAGAAGCTTTCAGGCACAGTCCAACAGTGACACGTATTTTTTCGTGTCACTGTTTTGTTCAAAAGAATTTTGCAATAGCATGTGTCTGAATATTTGATGTAAAACTGGGAATACTCGGGGCCCTATGCATCCAGTCCGGCTGCTTTATTCACATTCACATTGTTCCTCGGTGTATGACATGCTTTCGTGCAAGATTTAAAATGCTGAAAATGAAACCCAGTCATGTGAAATGTGTGTGGCCCAATGTAAACACCTGCTAACGGAGCACTAGAACCAGAAGAGCTGAACTTGCTGAAAGCAACAGACACCCTGTAACAGTCAAGTTAAATGTTTTCCCTCTTTGTTCCTGCGCTCCGCTTCCATCCTTCATCACATCCCCGCGGAGAACAAAAGATATTTACACCTCAGTCGGTTCAGCAGGTAGGTGTCAGGAGTTTGTCTGGGCTGCCTGTCAGGAAAAGGGGAAGCGCATCTCTAAACCAGCTCACGGCGACGGCGTTTCGGGCCTGCAGCCAGTAGCTGAAGAAATCGCATTGATCTCGGGAAGCGCGAGGTGTCTGCTTCAGGGAGTTTTTGTTTATGGAGGAACAATATTCTAATGAGGAGGTGTTGATTACAGAGGCGCCTGGGAGGTTTTGAGAGGCTTCAGCAACGCAAAGATGATGATGCTGACAGTTCTGTGCATGCAGTTTGTAATCGGGTTCATGGAGACAAAGACAAGACTGAATGGTAGAAGCGTGCAATGCTGAAACCGCCTGTTGCCCTCGGGATTGTTGAGCGTTAGCTGTAACACACGGCAAATGGAAAATGCATCTTTGGAATTCAGGGTGAAAGGCTAATGAGCATAAACTACCTATTTTAGATGTCTGGGTCACTCTAGATTGCTGGGAGTGAATATCAGAGCGGTACAATGTTTGTATGTGCTTTGCAAATAGACTATTTCGTTTTTATTTCATGTATAGAGTTAAATAATGTGTATATAGATATAAGTTATTAATCCCAGAACGCTTGATTTTATCCCCCTCACAAACATTACTTCCAGGATGTTATTTAAGATGATCCACCTTTCCATCTGTTAGAGGGATTTGGGTGGTTGCCAGTTTGGTACCTGCTGCCGAAGGCCGCAAAATTAAACGCAGAAGCAGATCTCAAATGCTACGATCAGCTGTATGAAAATAACAGACTTGAGAGTTTCCATGAAGTGTGCACTTAAAACAGTTGATGGCTCATTTTGAGGTCTTAACGGCAGTATGAGCTGTGTTCTATAACACGTGGTTTAAATGTAAATATGTCACGTGGCAGTAGCTGATCCCTGACTGTCGTTTGTAAACGCAGCTTTGTGAGGAAACCTCCTGTTGTGTTGGATCTGCTGCTGAAAAACTGTCATCCTGTATATTTCACGCTCTCCTCACAGCTCCTGCAGCGAGCTGTGAGATTTTCTCAAATATGTGATCTGACTGGGCCAGTCTGACTCTGGGGAGGAAAAAAAACCATTCAGCCGGGAATGTGTGGCACGCTTCGGCCCTTCATGTACTCTTAAAACAAGAGAAAGAGGAAGTGACTTGTTTATGACACGCAGATGATGTCTTTTCGTCTCTTCACAGGTGCTTCATGCTGCTGTACTGTAACATTTTTATTTATTTCTTTTTAAGCTTTGGGTCTCCCACAGCAGAGGCTTAGTTCATTAATGACCGTGTGTAAAAATCAGTGCCTGGGGATCACTGCAGCTCAGCTTTCACACATGTCCTTGTTTTTGGTGTCTTGTTATAATTACAGTGCTTAAAATGAAGCCGTTATTTGGAGCTTCTATTGTTGTAAACACATTAATCATTAACATCTTGTTTACAAAGGGGATTGTGGCTGCTGTGAACTTTTATGATTATCTCTCATTTCCTACAGAACAGAAATTATGGGGTTTTTGGGTCTTTTTTTTAGTCCTGAGGGCATATGAAAAAAAATATTCATCACCATGTGCAGTTGTGCATCATTATATTCGTAAAGCCGGAACGTAAACTTTAAAGTTTATGAGGGAGTGCCGTTGAAAAAATGCGGGTTCAATTAAAAAATTATGATATCTTGAATCAATTAAGGCAATACGACACAAAGATTAGAACTGGGACACCAGAAACAAAGAAAATAAGCTGAGGCCACTTTACTTGTATAGCACGTTTTACACACAAAAGCAAAGTTATTCATGTAAAGGAAAAAAATAATAAAGAGGGGGGGCACTATTCTAGAAATCACAATTAGTAAACATAAAAAAGCCACAGTTTTACGTCTGATTACTTCTCATCTGTTCTTGAGTTGACTGGC